TTAGTTTGTTTTTTCTGAATTTTATTAGACTCTTGAATAAGTTTTGGATCTTTGGCATAGGTATTAATAATTTCAGGTCTTACCCCTTCTGCTAATTTCACACGAAATTGCGACTGGCGTGAACCACTGGCGACTATTTCATTTTCATAATCATTTTTTGGGCCTAAATCTAAATGATGGATGAAAATGTTCATAGTATCACTGATTTTAGCACAATATTTTGCCCTTTCCTCTATGGTGAGTTTTCCTTTTCTCTTATCTAGTAAGAGAGCCTCTATTCGTTCTTTACTAAATGAGCGTCTGTTATCAGTACCTCTGGCAAGAGTGACTTTAACACACCTGCAAGCTATCCAATCAGAAAGTAATACATCGAGTTTGGAAGCATGTTCGTTTAATTGTTCTGGGATAGAGTTGGCCATCAGATTATGCTTGTCTAGAAACTGCTCTAAGACCAATACAAAGTTATTAACTTTAGGTTTTCGGGTCTTTGAGGAAGCTGTTTTAGTAGCTATGTCAGAGTGAGTGTTATCTAGTTATATTAATCTAGTTATTTTTTAATTTGAAAAAAATAATAATAATTCACTCTTTACCAAAGCATACCATTTTCCTGGAGTATGCTTATATTTTTTTGCCACTCCTCATCGGTATCGAGCCAGGAGGATGTGGTCCCCTTATCTTCAAGGTCACAACAGATTATTTCTTCTCCTATCAATCTTTCCCACACTGATATGTCCATATATTCTTTAGGGTCTTCTTCCTCTCTTTTGCATAACAGCACATCTGAGCATCAGTTTCCATTCTATCTCAGAATGCAATGGAGTCGAGCCTGTCCTTTTTTATAATAGTTACAAATATATCGGGATCCTCACCAAGTTTGATTGCCCTTTTTCTGAGGTGCTCTTCGTGCTAGGCCCTGCTCAGAAGTATGGTAGATGGTACTTCATTGATAAGTTCAATAGACCCAGATTCTTTAGGAGATGTATCAGGCACTACTCTACTTATAGGTATAATAGGTTCAGAAAGCTTGCTAGTTTCAAGCTGGTTCTTTTGAGACCACTCATTGATTTCTGGCTCAGGTAGATTAGACATCTTAGAAGTTTTGGAAGTTCCAGATGTTGAAGCAACTGGTGCTTCGGCTTCTTCTTCCACATAGTTGAATAGAGCTTGGGTTACATTGTCCTGTTTATCTACTTTCTTATCACTAGATGAAAGAATCTTTTCTGGTCGAGACAGAGCTGTTTTTGAAGAAGTGTTTTCTGGCACATTAAATATTGGTATATCTGTTGTCTCATTTTTGGGTATGTCAGATTGAGGTATGTCAGAGAATTCTTCGATATCGCCTAGGCCAGACTCACGAAGCTTAACTATGATTTTAAAGCGATTGAGAATATATTGCTATTCTCTTTTCCATTACCTACTCGCTCCTGTTTATACTCAATAATATTTTTTTCTGATAGCTTCTTACCGAAAATATTGTTAGATAATGGCTTTTCACTATTATCTTCACACCATTCAAGATATTTTTGATATAATACTTTCTTATTTAACATAAGTACACTATTCTCAACCCAAGATGCAATATAGTCAATTAAAAATCAGATAGGATTTGGAAGCTGTTCACACATTATATCTACTTTCATTTTGGTTGCAGGAATTTTTCCAGGACTCCAATTTGATAAATCACGGCTAAGAAGATATAACATGACTACTTCTGGTGCATCAGAATAGTCTAGAATTTCTCCTAGCTGGTCAAAATATAGTATATTACCTCTACAGCGTGCTGAGACATCAAAACAGACTATATGAGAATCTTCTATATCTATTTTGAGTGGGGCATCCTGATTACTTGTAACTATATACCCAGCATAATCATTTATTTGTATAGTTTCAAGACCCTTACACTCTATAGCTACCATTCGTTCTGTTATGAGTGATTTGAGATGCCCATTAAATCTATGCCATTCTCCACTTGACATTCTAGTTTCATTCATAATGATAAGCTTTCGAGCTTGAATAGCACTATTAAAGCGTCCAAGAATTTTTTCCAAATCTGACGTTGCGAAATGGAGGTATGACCCCAGGACTTTGTCACCAATAAAATCAGTGATGATATTTTTTCCGCATTGTTGTAATGTAGATTTTAGTACTAAGATAGTTCAGGGCTTCTTCTCTGGCTTCTGTACTAAATATGCCCACCAGTTCCAAATATATTCATCAAGTCTTTTATCCCTACTACAGATTATATTCTTTACATGCCAGAGAATCAGTTCCATAATTTCATTATTTATCTCTGCTACCGGTTTGGCTAAAAATCCTATAAAAAGGTTAAAAAACTTTGTATCATGAGCTAGAGTATTTAGCAGATATGGTAGAAAATTAATATTGTGGTAAAAGATTAGACCTTTGGTAACTGCCCGATCTATTAAATTAATTAACTTCATTGCTTCTCCTCCTAGCTCAACTAAGTTAATTTCATACTTGGCAAGATCTAGTTTTGGTGTCATATAAAAATATAGTCCACTATTTGTATTCTCTGTTTTGAGCACCCATAATCTTGATATCATTTGAATACAGGCAACTGTTGCCTGAATTGCATCATAAATCTCATTACGAAAAAATTTCTGTCCAGATACACACATGTCAATTAGATCACCCCATACAAAGTAATCATTGGGATTTGAAATTCTGGATCGTTCTAGTTTTATAGAACTTGGAAGTTTTTGTTCTTGATCCAAGACAGTTTCATTAAAAGTAAGTTTTTTCAAAGGCTTTCTCGATCCAGGTTGCCTATCTTGGTTTGCTCGGTAGCAGTAAAAACTGTATGATTTTTTATTTCATATTATATAAGTATTATCACTATCATGTTCTCGATCACATATCAGACAGTATGATGGAGAGACGCGTGATAATAGAAATTTGTCAGGAAAGTTTTCAGATGGGTATGAGAGACTATACCCTTTGATGCTAGCTTCTTGAAGCAATTCTTCTACCAGTTTGAATTCAGCATTGGTGGTGATATTATTTATGCTAGAACATCTTCTTATTTCCGGTTCCAAAACAATTAAGAGAGGACTTTCTGTAATTTCTGATTCATCATTTGGTGAGCGAATCATGAAGTCAAAAATGGTTCCCTTTTTGGGATACATTGCTTTTTTCACACGAACGTACTCCTTTGTTTTTCATTATACTTGGGCGAACCAAGCATTCGCAAGGAAAATAAATATTTATTCGCAATATTATCTATAATATTATTCCCCTGAAGAGATGCTGGAAGTTTCTTACGAACAAGTTCAGTGAATATTGTGACCTGAGCGATATTTTTAAGTCTCATACCAGTAGTAGAAATGTGGAGGGATATTTTTTTCACATCAGTACTACTAGCAACAGTAATACTATTTTTTTTCTACTTTGAAAATATTTCAAGACAAACATCTCTAAAGATACGATTGAGTGTATCTAGTATCTCTTTACATGTAAGCTTAGGTTCAATACCATCATGCACCTCTCGTGGCAAATCAAAATCTATAATGGGCCGGAGTGGCTCATCGCCATCAATAAATTCATGCAATGAATGGCCTTCACGGTCTGAAAGTATGGCTTCAATACCATCCTCATTGTCAGTGCCTAGAAAATTCCTTGGTCTAACACTATCATCACGAATTTTATATAAGCATGTACCTATATCAGAAGCTCTTAACCCACAATAGTACAGGGCGAGGCTGTCCAAATTCTCTGAAAGCTCGGATTGGGTCATGATATAATATCACAAATATACAGTTTGAGAGAATATATATATTCTGAGAGAAAAAAGTTTAAAATAAAAATTAATTCCGAAATATATAAATCGATATATAAATCAACTATTCATAGTTATTAAAAATGATATTTTATCGATGCTCTTATATTCTTAGGAGTGGTGAGGTTTGCAATAGAGGATGCTACCAACTAGAAGGATGCCAAGTTCATTAGAACTCTCCCTCACGTGTACCTTGCAATGAATGCAGTAAATTAACTTTTTCCAAATATGGAACTTGCGATATCCACGCTAGAAAGCACCATAAAATGGAACAGTATTATCAAAAAAAGCTGGAGGACTTGGCTTCGACACAGATGCCGATAGGTAATTTAGGGTAAATAAAAGTTGTCACTAGTATCACTAGAAAAAAAAGCTAGTGACAGAACCAGTGATACAAATAATAGGCTTTTTAAGTATCCTAAACCAAAAGAAAGTTTTCTTGATGAGTGTTACTAGTGTTACTAGAAAAATTCGAGTTCTTTAACTTTTTTATTTTTTTTTATAGTATATATACACCACATATAACCATAGAGATGGCATAGATAAATTCATTTTTTTTTTTTCTAAAATTAACTACTTTTACTAGTGACACTAGTGACACTAATCAAGAAGAAAATAAAAAAGCCTAATAATCTCAAGAAGCATAACGAACATGTTACTAGTTCTGTCACTAGTTAGTATATGGAACTAGTAATACTAGTGATACTTAAAAAATTAGCATACTTATTGCCTCGACCAGCACAAGTGCATTTAAACTATGATCAGACCTCAGAAGAGCTTACAATATCCCACTAATATACCTTGAAAACATCATAAGCATAATACCTTTGGTCTCACTCTTGGTAACAGGGAAGTATCCAGAACCCAAGGCATAGTAAATTTGGTTAATTATGGTTAGCACTATTATATAATTTTGGCCAGAACTTTGAATACAATAACTTGGTACCCAAACTGGCATAAAAGTAATCTAGAACTGGTGAACTAATAGAACTTTTTCAGTTTCCTGCTAGTGCCACGATAGTTCTAGACACTATCGGGTCACTACTATAGTGTGAGTTTGATTCTCAAAATACGTGTTCTAAAGATCAGCCAGAATTATGCTATAGTGCTGGGCAAATTTAAATACAGATTTACTGCGCTACCCAACACAATATTTTTTTTATCACATTTTGATATTTTAACAGACAACTGAATAAACGCAAAAAGATAAACACCTCAATATAGAATCTGGCCAAGACGGCATCTAAGATGGTCTCCAAACAGGCCAAGAAAGGTAGAATCACGCATCTTCTCTCCTAATTAGTCAGACAACTTGGAAAAGAGAAAATATGTAACCGGCCACATACTTGAGGACGGTATCACAGATAAAAATCTACTTGAGACAGACATAATCTATTATAAAAATCTTGACTATATCGTTCTAACTAGATAACATTATAAAATTCTAGACTATATCGTCCTAACTAGATAAGATTATAATGCAACTGGATAACAGTCTTATAACACTGGTCAAAATCAAAAATATAAACCAAATATCATCAAGCAATCATCTAATCGATAGCTGGCTGATAGTTTGGTG